AAAGAAAACAGAACAAAAACTTGTGTTCATGAAGATTATATCATGTGAATTAACTTTCTTACTAAGGAATCCACGCCTTGTCTCATGTTCTTGAGTCACTAAGCAAAGAGCTCTCAAAGCCAAGTGCATCGTGCCAAAGATCTTCAATGAGCTTCTCATTGCTGTGGGACTTGAACCCAAATGAAATGTTTTTGTGGGCAACCAGCTCAAGGTAATCCAACAGAAGGTATGGGGAAAGTATAATGAATTAATAGTTGCTTTTTTTCCCCTGCTCTTGTCCCTCTTATGAGGGAATGAAAATTTTTAGCCCTGGTTCCTGTGCCTCCCCTAAAAACAGAGTTAACAAGACAATATGAACATATCTAACTGATTCGACAGCTGCCATCGGTTCCATACATCAGGTTAATGAAAACCAAGTGCTCTCAAAGACTTAAGAGAAGCCCAGTGCCTGAGATCCACCTCACCAAAAGGAGTTGCAGGGTAACTCTTAAACTCAGGCAGTGAAATGTTTTGACAGTAGAAGAAAGAAACCTTGAAAGAGCTTGCCTCTTTACTACTGTTCAAGGAAAAGTTTGGGATTTTCTTATCAAGATTATTCCTGAGCTCCAGGTAATGGCATGAAACTGCAAACTTTGTTAAAGACTGTTATGATCTCCTACACAGCCAATTCAATATTCAATCCACTTCCCATTTTCAAACTGCAGCCTTTAAAGCTACGGGTTTGATTCAATTATGGGGGGAGAAGGCAAGGAAGAGGAAACAGTAGATCTGAGAAGTTTTCTAGAGGGCAAGGAGGAAAAACAATTATGCCTAGCGGGAGACAGGTTACACATGTTTGTTCTTCTCCTAGTAAAATCTTAAAACTGAAATGCTGTTTAAGGCTGGATTATCCTACAGGTTAAGTATCCTACAAGTTAAATACAGAAAGCACACAAAATTACAAAGCAGCAATCCCAGCAGAGTATTGCTGCTCCACCTGGATCTACAGCAGCCAGAGCAGCACTCTCCAAACCAGCAAACTGCCTGACCTGGTGTAGGGCAAACTCTGCTGCTCTGACACTAATAAAAAGCACATGAGGAGGTCAGGGGATGCTGATGTACACTGGAAAAGCCTTTTTCCTTATCTTAAATGAAGCAGTTCAAAATACTGATATCCTGTCTTTAAAACAATCTGCGCTTCACCAGGACCATACACCTGCAGGTGGGAGACAAATGTTTCTGCAGTCACTGCTCTGCTTCACAGCAAAAAGCCAGTGATGGCCACTAATCATAAAGTGCCATGCCAATCCAAAAGCATGTTTAAGTCCTGTGTACATACATTAACATCCAGATATGCTATCCCTTCATAATTCTGAGTTAAAAAACATTTGTTAAAAGAAAATTCACTGAGCAACTAAAACCCAATTTGAAAAGGAAATACAATATTGCCATAAATGTATTCATGACAGGCAAGAAGCTGCATAATAGGCATAGAAAACATAAAAATATGCAATTTACATATATTACACACTAATAATCTCTTTTCTGACATTATATTTAAAGAGCCCTGGCTGAGATGGCATGCTTGCAGTTGAGTTGCTTTTTCATGAAATACAAACACTCCAGGCTGCCATCTCCCCAAGACATTAATCCCTGACTTTTTCCAGCAAAAGTCAACCCGTTGCATGCCTGCAAGACAGAGGTTCTCTCACCACATCCAGGTAGTAATGAATAAACCAGATGAGCAAGGAGAATAATCAGTCATCTGAAGGGTATCTGCAAATCTTGTCTTGATGTTAAAAAGTATTAAACAAGGTGGAACCCTTTCTGTTCTCTTATTTTTAAACAAGATCAACAACTTTTCAACACCCAGCTTGCAAGACAGTTATGTAATAGAGCGTTTTTCTTCCTAGAACTGAGAAATACAATCCCTTCTCATGCCAAAATTCAAGGGTAAAACAATAAAAATAAAATAACATCACCCTAGGTGTCTCTGCTTATCTTCTACCTTCACCAGTGTTTGCCTTAAACACCATATTTGTCCATCATATTAAAGAAAAAAGTTAGAACCATTGGATGGAGCCTTATTTTCTCTGTAGAATGGAACCATTCTACAGAGAAAATAAAGCTTCCCTGGTGTCTTTGTGTCAGACCCCCATTTGTAATAAATCGATGACGAAGAGGAGAGAGAGGTTTAAGTCTGCTAAGAATATGATCCTGTGTATCTTAGTACTAGATTTTGTTGTATCTTAGTATTAGATTTTGTTCTGTATGTTCTAAGGATGGGGTTTTTTAATCACAAAATATTATCTGGGCTTCAGACAAAGCCCCCCCTTCCCCCTCTCTACTTCAGTCACCACAAATTCAGCTTTAGACTCAGTTTTTCAGGAGCACTTGCCAGCAAGAGACACATGGATGGGTGGAAACATTATGTTAATTGCTCACACACCCAGATTTATTGTGGTCAAAAATGCACAGGCTAGTAAATAGACCCTCTCTCTTTCTCATCTAAATTCCATGCACACAGGCAGGGCAGTGCAACATGCCCACTCAGCAGGAAAACTCCTGTTTCCCTTTTTCATGAAACCCCAAATGCAGAGCTGGCTTTCAACTTTACCTTACCTCAGCCTCCCTTCCAGCACCTCAGGAAGAGCCCTGAGGAAGCATGGAGAGGGGATGCACAGTGACACACCCCACAACTAAGGGACATTTCACACACCAGCATTGTGACCAGCAGCTCAGGCTCCTTTGGGCATCAAGAGTTTCACTGCTTTGCTACAGTCCCACAATTTGTTGCACACAATTTACATGTTTCAGGCTGTATTACTGCATTATATAAAAACAAAATCTGAATGTGTCACTTTATACATCTCTACATTTTATGCATGTCTCTAACTCATTGTTTAGGCACCAAAACTGATATAGAGGAGTTGCTGGCAATGCCACATGAATTCAGTTCTGGGTTTTTCATTTGTTTGTTTGATGGGAAGATTTTTAACATTTGTTGAAGGTAATCATTTAGTTGCCAAGAAGTTGCTCCAAATCTAAATGGATATAAGTAATCTCCTCTATGCACTGAGCAATGAAAGCATGATGTCAACTTTAAAGGGATCAGCATCCCCTAAACCTAGCTGTACCTGTTGGTAGAGCTGCTGGACACAGCCAGAAGTGCTAAGCACTGGGTTAGAAAAAGGCTTCAGAAGTCTAAGGAAAACAAATAAACAAACTATAAAACAACAGAAGTCTTCTAGGGTAAAGACAGAGCTAGGTGTAAAAAAGCACAGAATCTCCTTTTGATTACATCAAACCTCAAATCAGCAAGACTTTGGCAGGAGGAGACCTGGCCTCACATTTTTGTCCCATTTCACCCAGCCATCACAAGATTTCTTTACTGTTGTTGTGCTCCACTTCTGTGTCACAGACAATAAAAGCTTTGTGAAAGGGGAAAAAAAGAGATCACATTTTCCATAGCCAGAACCAACACACATTTAAACTGACACTAACAACTACCTTTTATGGATTAACATTGAAAACCAGATAGATAATTATGTCAAAAATTTGGAAGCCTTGCACACTATGAAACTAGCCATTAAAAAAAAAAAAGAAACAACTAATATAATGTCATGGATTTTCTTGAAGTTTGCATTTAGAAATCAGAATTCTTTCAAACAAAATCTATTCAAGTCTTGTTGGAAGTACATCCGTTTGTTTTTCTGTTGGCATTTTTTTCCTGAGGTTTCAAGCCATGAAGTTTTGTACCACACTCCATGCTATAGGAATCTGTGAATCTTAATTACATTTACCGTTACAAAAAAGGGTTTATGAACTTTTGCCTTTGGGCAAAAATGTTTATTTCATTGCCTTTGTTATTCATTCTTTTCAACTCCAGAGCCTTTGAACTTTTCAGCTGCACAGAGTTATCACCGTTGCACAGGAACCAGGAACTGCACTCCCGAGATGCAAACCACAAGTTGAAGAAAACGAAGGAGGCAAAGATATACGAGTCGTTATTTTGGCCACCCTTTGTGCCATTAAAATCTCATTTTCTGCCTATTAGAATGCCCTCTCCCTGCTTAGGCAGTGGTGATAGTCAGTGATTAGTGTGTAATTGAGTATAATTGTCTTTTCACTTTTCATTTGTGTCATTCTGAGCTTCTCCCTGTTTTTCTAACCACTGAGAGGAAAAAAGGGTAGAAAGCAGATAAAGCTGTTAAAACTCTCACTTTCAGCCCTGAAGAGATTCCTGATTGTAATTATAGATTGCATCTTCTTTGTGACTCCTCAGAATTTAGTGGACATCTCTTTCCAAGCACCTGGGCAAAGCTCTTGCTAATAAAATAAACTACCATCTATTCAAGCTTTAACTAATAATGTCAGCTTCAGACAGATGCCGTGTGTAAGAAAATTTAACCAATCTTTTGACACTCAATTATCAAGGCAATTTATTAACCTGATTTCCTTAAAAGAGCTCACGCAAATTAGAAAAACAATTATGGTATTCATGCATTTATATATTGCCAAAGAGCAGTAATACTTCTAATTTATGTATTTATAACTCGATTACAGCTCATCTCAATACACATTTCTCAGTCCTTGGAACTCTTCTCATGCAACTCACCCATAATTTTCCTGGACCACTTGGTAAAATCTTGATGATGTTATTTTAATGAGATATTTTATTCACAGAAAAAATACAAGCTCTGTTTTCTGTACCTAGCCATGGGTCTTCAGGAGAAGAGCAGTGCATTACAAATGCTTGACAACTGGATGCAAATATGCAGTCTGCATGATTCCATTATAAATCAGTTGAAATTAAATATAAGCTATGACTCTTTATTCAGCCAGTAAGAGGAAAAAAATTAAAAAAAAAAAAAAAGGAAACTAGCAAACTGAAATCATGTGGCTTATATAAAGAATACATTATGGTTTAAATTTGGCAATTCATTATACTGTGGCCTGAGGGAATAGACTCTTTGGTTCTGGTATACAGCAAATCCTCTGTCTGAAAACACAGGACTGACCTGAGGTGAGAGGCCATTGCCAATGGCAGGGTTCATGGGATTGGAGGGCCCGGACGGAGGCACAAAGCTGTCTGTATAGCTGGAAAATCCATGCCTGGTGCTGGGCAGGCAATAGGCAGAGCTGCTCTCGGGGTTCGAAGGGAGGCTGCTTTGGTGTACAGTGCTTGGAGGGAGAGGCTGAGGTCTATGGACGGTACTGCTTGGATCAGACACGGCTGGAAGCAGAAGAAATATGTTGATATGTTTTCCTCCTTTATTCTGGCATAATAAGTTCATTATGTGGAGCTCAGCTTAAGAGAACTGCATCAAAACCTGCATCTAAATACTGGTTAAGTAGAAAAATAAATCTATAATTTTGTTAGATATTTAACCAGCCTGTGAATTTACACAAAAATTCTTAAACTGACTGTAAATACCATAACAAGAGGAATGTGGTTTTCAGACAACCCTTAGTGAGCACATATTGTCAGCAATATCTTTTTAATATGTCTATATATAAAAATAAAGGAAAATATTTATTTCTTATAGGACCAGCTTTCCCCTCCTGCTCACAGCTCAGAAATCCCACCGCAGTTTGTATCAAGTCAAGCGATGGACAGGAGAAGCCCTGGGCTTTGAAAAATTCCCTCAATTAGAACCTCCACTGAGAGTTAGGATCCAAATCTCAAGGATGAATCAATAAGAGGACACGAATTATTTTATAAAATCTCACTCATAAGGTTTTTATTTAATATTAAAATCTAACAAAGCCTAGATTTGAGGGTCTGTTCCCCTCCCACTCAAATCCATCGCAAGTTCACAGAATTTCTGATAACATTAAGAAAAATTGAGATTGAGACTAGTTACTGACTGATTTGAAACAAGGTGGTCTGAATAGCTGTTTTTTCCACCCCCAGATAAATATTCAGAGTATTTACACAAGTTCCAATGCTCCATCAATGATAGTCACAACAAAGACAGAGTGCACATGTCCCCTACATCACACCAGACACTTCCAGCAAAGGAGGCCAGTGCAGTGGCAGGACAGGGATGAGTGTCCATCACTTTACCAAAGCTGCATGTCTGCTGGGCAGAAGGTGATTATTTCTCTGGAGAGCACCCTTCCCATGGAACCACCCCTTTCTTGCAGCAAAACAAATCTCAGTTCTTACATGCCTAAAATAAACAGGCCTGCAGGATCCTGCCTGAGTCAGACCCTAAATTAGCCAACTCATTAGAAAAGAAAATATTTCTACAGTGATGAGCACCGGAATCCCCCCAATAACACTATTTTAACCAAGTATCTGTGGACTACTGTACCTTGGGGTATGGAGGTGGGTTGGTAGGAGGGCTCAGAGAGCTGGTACGTTGGCAAAGTCGGCATGGCACTGGGTGGGAATCCTCCAGGGATCAGATGGTTGAAAGCCATCAGTTGGTTGGCTCCTGCCTGCTTCCTCCATCTGGCACGACGATTACTAAACCAGACCTGCAAATGTTTTAAACATGAACGTTTGATTTCTGCACATTTAGTACAGATGTATCAGAAATAATGGCATTGCATTTCAAACATGGGCAGTGTCTGAGATGAGAGATGCAGAAGATGTACACTGAACTCAGTACTCCTAGACAAGAAAGTTACCCTTGGCACACATTTCCATGGTCCAACAGGAATTCTCATCCCTGTTTCCTCTCAAATTCAGCCTCTCCTGAGAAAAAAAGCTGTCTACTCTTTCAGGCTTTAGTGGTTTTAATCACTATCATTACTGTGCCAGATTTAATGACAAAGGGGAAACCTCTTCATTTAATCTAAGTGCCAGCCAAAGCTATTTCATCTGTACTGTATTGTCTTTAAGTTGCTGACAAGTTAGTGGCATCACTTAATGCACTGTTAGAAGGTGCACATACTTATATATTGGGATAATATATTGCCCTAATGATCAACAGAACTTCAAGCTTTTAATTAGAAAAATGCAAGCCCCATGTACAAAATACACAAATCCCTCCCAGCAAGTTTTCATGTGTTCACATATGTACAAAACAGTAGGTCAGAACTTCAGTACTAGATTAGCATTTCAGAACCACTTTGAAATCCGTTCCCAGGACAGCACACCAACCAGATGGGGTTTGAATTGTGGGACATTTTAGCTATAAATCTGCTTTTCTTCACATCATTCTCAGTTTGTGTTGTAAGCTTTCCGAGTCTTGGATAGTTCTTACTACATCCAAGATACAAAGAGGCAAGACATCACAAATGCAGACATAATAGGAATTGCAAAACATATTAATTGTTAATTTTGATATTTTAACAATTCCACACATCACGAATTGGAAGGGCAAAGAGTGCAGAGGAAAAGGCACATTGCCTTGTTGTGGGGTCAGAGCAGGCTCCTGATGACAGCTCTCAACTCCATGGTGGAGCACTGAGGGAAAGAATGGTTGGTTCAGGTAACAGAGACTGCACACGTTTGTAACCAAGCAGCCAGTTGCTAATAATCCTACACCCTGAAGCAGCTGTGGTGCTCATCTACAGATACAATTCATTAGATAAGACCTCAACTGAGTGTTAATACCTGATAAAGTAGATCTGCACAGCCTGTAAGGCAGCCTGGCCTGAAAGCCACTGAGGCACGTTAGCTGATGAGCCACATATAGATGTGTTCGTAGAAGATGGGACTCAGATCTGTAACCCTCGAGCAAGCAGCCCTTGCTGGCTTATGAATCAGGCACCAGAGACTGGGATTCTAAGTGTAACACCATTTATAAACCATGAGTGGCCCTCACACTAGAGGGTAACAACCTTTTGGGCTACACTGTGGGTTTCTCCTCTGCTTGCTATTTCATGACAGGAGTGGTGGGACTCGCTGGGCCATCTGGTTTCTGCCATAGGCCATCTGTCACCATGTAGTTTGTTCTGACTTCATCCTCTTTTCAGAATGAGATGCTCAGTTCACACAGCTGCCTCCTCCTTTGGCTATAACATCTACTCCTCAATTATACACACCCACTCCAGTTTAAGATCTAGGACAGAGGGATAGGTGGAGCCTCTATTCTATGTCACAAATCCCTCTCTTGTTGTTTTGCTGTACATACTGACCCCCCTGTCTCCACATGAGCCATTTCTGAAAGCAGTGGCAGGGACAAGGCATCAGGGTGGAGATGCAAAACCTGCAATGAGCAGTAGTTGAGGATGGGTCTAGATTCAGCCTGTAGAGCAAGAAAGGGACCTCGCTAAAGATCCAAAGAACACTTAGGAAGGATAATGGAGGTCAAAGAGTGACCAGGGAACAGCAAACCCTTGTTGTAATTAGTTGACCCATGTCATTAACTCTGGCTTTTTGCCTTGACACTTTCTCTTCTTCAGGTCAAGAGGGTTATCTCATGATCTCCAAGTGCTTTGGGAACATGAAGAGAACTAAGCTACATGAATGAATTTCACTCAGGAAAGTGAGGTAACAAGATTTTGTTTTCTCTACAGATAAGCATTTGCCTTCAAACTCCATATATTTATTAAAATGAGTCAAATCCCAAACTTTAATTCAGTAGTAAGCAATTTACATAAATGACAAGTTTTCTGTTTTTATTTATGGACAGATTTTTGGCTCATTTTATAGACTCACATTTTTTCCGCAACTGCAGCTACGTATTAGACATCTCTGAAAGGAACAGACTCCACGGTATCAAAAAGTCTGCAGCAGCCACACAATGGACATGCTTGCACAGAGCTTTGTTGCCAGCTGGAGCCCCATTGTACTGAGTGGGACTCTGCAGGGGTGCAGAAACAAGGCTGTGTACTGCCACCTCAGTCCTGTGTGATTGGGATGTGCCAAATGAGCGCTACTTGATGGGCACTCATGTCACATGGCACTGGCACAGTCCTCTGGCACCGGCCTCTTGCTTTCCCTGGTGGCAGGAGGGCAGGTGGCACCTGACTAGCACCAGAGTTAGTCCAAAATTAACTCACCAAAACCCCTTGAACAAGTTCAAAACTTCAGAGGAAGCCTTACTGCCACTAATACCACACAAGTTCATCACTGCAGAATGGTAGAGGCACATAAGAAAACAAAAATACAAAAGCCACCAAATCAAGAAAAAGTTACTAAAAAATAAATAACTGAAACCCAAATAACTGAAACCTAAGTATTTTATTTACATTTTATGTAATTCTTATTAAAATTAGTCAAATCCTATGCTTTATTCAGAAGCTTGAACAGAATTATGAATGTTGAAGTCAGAACATATTCAGAATATGTTATTTTAACTGAAATTCTTGGGGTTTTTAATCATAATATTTCCCTTAGACTATATTAATCATAATATTTCCCTCAGTCAGTTGCCTTGATCTATTTCAAGAGGCCAGAATTTTTTTCATTTCTTAAATCCTCATGTAACATGGAAAATTCATGTACAATACTACCACTAAAGAAATCTTGAAAAACTTTGCTAATCTCAAGCCAAGATTTAAAAATAAATTCAGTCACCACAAGCCAGTGTGTCTGCTTAGAAACATATTGTAAAAACCTGGGGAAATATTTTCTTTTGTTTATACATTTCCAATATGATTTAAATGCAATGTCCCCTTATGTGCAACAGATTTCAAATTCCACCAACATGACAAAATCCTCATCTTATGAGTGGCCTTTTCAAATCTAGCAGTCCCCATAGGATGCTCCTTTCTCCCACAACCTCATTTGAGGGGCACAATCATCACCTGGCTGCAGGGATGCTTCCAGTACAAAGCAGCCCCTGGAGGAGATCCCAAGAGTCATCCTGTGAGAAAGTGCCACCCTGCAGTGGACACAGCAGAAATCAAACTCTAAACTATCTAAAAATGGACAGAGGAAACACAACTTGGCTGAGGGATCCAAGCATTCAGAAACTATGTCTGCACAGAAGCCAAGTCACACTCACTGGAGTGAGGCTTGGACTCCTCGGTTCCTATGTCACTTTCAAAGGTGGAATGTAAATGATCCAGATGATTTGGAAACAAACTTGAATCCCAATGTCTGGCCAACGTTTATAGCTCAAAAATAGAACAGAACAGGATGAAATACAGAACAAAACGGGGGGAAAGTAGTGCTTTAAGTACTGGAGGCTCCAGTTTTCCAAACACCTGGGACTGGACTGACCAAAAAAGAAATCACTCTGCCACAGAACATAAAAACTGTAATTTGCACCAATGTAGATGGATAAGGTGAACTAATAGGTTTCTTCCATCTCTATTTCCTGATATTTGGATCCTGCCTCTTATTATAATTTTTTCTTAAAGCAGTTTGCAAGTGATCATGCCAATATCTTATTTTGTTGATCTCAACAGGATATTCTTTAGAAGATGCATTTATGCACTTGGGAACACACTAGTGTAATTAGCCTTGACATTTCGACAGTCTGATCATAAACACAGAGTGTTCTATGTGCTTTTAAGGCAAAAAGATCTCTGATTCAAGAGGGAAAAACATTCAAGATGTGAATGTTACAAAAAAACCGTGGATATTTTGTTATACAAAGTCCTGACCATTGCAAGCACGAGTGCCAGAAACACAAAAGTCAAGAGACTGATGTATTGTTAATGGCACTTCTAATTTTAGATGGATTCTAGATGGGGGGAGGGAGGAGTTGATTTGGTTTTTCCTCATGATATTTTTCATGGTAACTGCCTCCCCCACCCTCTTATTCTCCACCTCTCCCTTCCCACAAAATTCACATGTTCAAAACAAAGTCTGACCATCCTGGAAGCCAGAGTCGGCGGATGTTCCACCAGGGAAAGAATGTGGGCTGTGCCAGAAGCAGCAGGGGTGCCTTGGGAAGAGGGGAGGCTCAAGAGGAAACTGCAAACAAAGCTGAGCTCCACCAGCCCAGGCAGAGCTGACTCTGCTACCTTTGCAAAACATGGCAGGGTGACTGCTACAGACACCTTCAGGCTCTGCTCCTGCAGTCCCTACAGATGCCAGACCTCGCTTACTTCAGCAGCCCTTCAAGGGCATGCACAGGAAATAAGTTCCTTATCCTCCCTGTTCTTTGTTTTTGCACTAGGGTGAGTTTCCATCCTGGCTCACCAGGGTATCAATACTATGAGCTGCAGGGAGAGCACTGCCAGGGAGCAGCTATGGGATGAAGAAAGAGTAGAAACAGAATTGTTTTTTAGCACATAGTTGAAAAATCAGCTTGACTGTGACATCTGCACACCCCCAGCCTCACAGGGATATGGTCCACTGCATACAGATGCACACCATGTTCCCTCACAGCATCCCAAAGCCTGCTAAGAGCAGCCTGCTATGGCCACCAGAGGGAATGTCACAAAGCTGAGGGTTCCCTGCCTGCTGAAGCCTGCTCTTTATGGGCATGGGCAGTGATGCTGCTCAGGATACTACCAGTTATCACTGTGCTAGAAACCAGAGTTCTTTGTAAACATACAGGAGAGAGGGAGAAGAGAATAAAAGGGAAAAATATACCAAACAAACCCCAAAACAAAACAAAACAAAGAAAACCCCACCAAAAAAAAAATCCAAAAACAAAGAAAGTCAAAATGAAACCCAGCACACGACACACAAAATAAAACAAAAAAAAAAACAACACAGACTAAAAGTCACTAGCCTGTGCCAAAGGGAATAGGGACTTGCAACCACCTCCCAGTGTGATCCAACATACTCCAATCTCTTAGGTTTCTTTGAGAAAACTTTGACTCAGTCCTACAAAAATACTTCTAAAACTCTGCAGCGGAATAGTTCTAAAAATTATTGAGTAATAAGCAAATTGAGCTGTGTATTTATAAGTTAAAGTGACACTAATTAGAGCCCTTAGGCAGCAGGGACCAGAAAGAGACAATCAAAATCACATCCCTCTTTTCCTTTATATTTAAAAATGTCCTCTTGGGCCCACATATGAATGCAGTTGGTTAATTTACCCATAAGAATTTCCCCTTTACAGGGGAAGGGGGACCTGCAATTACAGGGTTATCTACTGCAATGATACACACAGCATTTTCTTTCTTTAGCCTTTTTATGATGCAAGAGATTCAGTCACAAGAAAATGCATCAGAAATCCTCCAGAAAACCACATCAGGAATAACTAAAGATCTGATGAAAGTGAGTCTTGAGTGTTCTTGAATCCATCCTGCATTCCTTTGCCCCATCTTCCCATAGGACTGGGCAGTTCAGTATATGCTCAAACTATTTCAGAGGTTTGAGCAAATGAAGACTTTTCTTTGGCACAGATTCCCCCTCCCCAGTGATTTCTCAGAGAGTGCTTTTCACTGTTTTCTACTGAGAAAATACTACTAAAGCTGAGAAATTGGACTTCAGAGCCTTTAAACTTTACTACTAGCTCAAGAGTCATAACTTCTCTCACCTTTCCCCTTACTCCTCTCCAAACTCTTTCCCTTCCTGCACCACAGTGAAGCAAAGAAAATAATATCCAAGCACAACACTTACAATACATTTTTTTAATAATTCTTCTTCTAGCTACTCAAGACATCTGAGCTCTTGGGACTTATTTGTTGAGGTTATAATAAAGTTTTTACAATAGCTAACAAGCTGATTACAAGCTTGACATGGGAACATTCAATTCCATGCTAGTAGCCTGGAGAGATGTGCCTAAATTTTCAGACATGCTCTGCTGATAAACAACTTTTTTTTTTTAATGCCTTCAAGCAAATCAGTTTAAAACTGGGATTTGGCTGAGAAGAAACTCTTCAGGGTGGGAAATAGTCATGATTCAGAATTCTTCCTGACTTGCCCTTCTTTTTCACCATTATTCATGGATGAAAAAGAATCCAAACAAATTTTTCCTATTTCATTTTGGAATTAAACAGGGGGTCCGTGTGCCAGCTGCTTCTTACAGCAGGGCCTCCTGCCCCAAGGATCCATACAGCTGGGGCACTCCTTAACATGGTCCAATACACAAGTCCCATGCCCTACATTTCTGGCAATTTGGGATGCCTGCCATCAACACACAGCCCCAAAAGATTTGCCTGCATGGCCAGCCCCTGTTGGCCAAGGCAGGTTCCTGGCCAGCCACAGGACAAACCTGAACCTTATTTAAAAATCCTTTGCCAAAAGATTGACGTCAACACTCCCCACCATCGATCTGAAACAGGCCCAAGCTGCTGCCAAAGCTTGCCCAGTTCATCTAAAAACGAGTCTGCTGTGGGAATCAAAGGTGGCCAGAAAAGATACGACCCACTTCATTCCTGATGCCATAACTCCACAGCTCAGAAAGACCCTTTGATCAACACTGAAGATAAATTCACTTTTCAAACTTGCCTTCAGATTGTCAGTAAAAACAGGCCACAGACCTTAAGGGCCTGCAAAGCAAGATAATGATGGTTTTAATGAGGTTTTAAACTGGACAGGTAAAGTACTGCAATTTTTGCTCAAAAAATGCAAATCTTTAACTTCACATTCCCAGAGTGTCAGGTTTTTTTATTATTATTTTTAAAGGAAAGGTTGTCCTTTGGAACTGTGCTTATCTTTCTGAATTTTATCTGATAATCTCACAAGACCAAAGAATTCTCCTCTTCCTTCTGCATCTAATGTGCAGTGAAGAGCAAATGCCTTTGGAAGAGGCAGCAGAAGAGGTTTTCCTGGCTTATATCACATCTAGGTTCAAACACTGGGGGAAAAGACTCAATGGTTCTTGAGTGGAAAGGTGCTGCAGGAGGAATTGCAGGGAGCCTTTTAACTCGTTATTACACCCAGTGTTGAAATATTTGCCATGATTACAGTTACACATCTCATGACTCTTACAATGTGGAGTTTGTTGGAACACTTCTTTCCCCAAAAGCCTTTCCTGTTCCCATGATTAGGTACACAAATAACATTCACAGTGTAAAGTCTGTTTTCAGTTGCTTGTTGCTCTCAAAAAATTCCCCTTAGGGGCTGACATGTTCTACTCTTGATCCCAGACCAGAGGCAAGTTTTTTCCTCCACCTCCAAGCAACCAGGTTAGAAACATGCATTTGGTTACCCTTCAGCAGTGGGAAAGTGAGGAAAACCACAGTTCAGTGGTGTAAGACTCTTCCTTTCACGAGAGTAATAGACAGCCTCAGGGAACAGAAGGAAAGGGGAAGCACAGGGTGGCAGAGTAGAGAAAACAAAACATGAGATGCAAGTACTACACAGAGGGACTGAGGGAATAGCAAGGTTGATCCAGTTGTTATCAACTAAATAACTGCCTAGGCAGTATAAAACTACTGTACAGAATTGGACCTTACAGCTCCAAAGGAAATAAATAAATAAATTTCTGGGCTTAGTTGGATTCAGGCTGCAAGAGCCAGCTCTTTTAGATAATGCTTTATTGGGAAGCAGTCAAAGAGACCTTTGTGTATATATCCATATAAAATTTGGTATCTCTGATCTCTATCATAATGTTACCAAAAAAGAAGTGTGACTAAGAAAGCCTGAATGCTACTTCAGTATGGCTATCCAGCCCTCTCAGCCTCAAGTCTCTTAGGGTTATTTTCTTTTCACAGGTCGTCTTTTATTTCATGCCCATAATACATGGCTATTTTAAGGGGCTATAGAGAGGTGCTGAATGCTGATAAGGCAAATCCTGTATCCCTTAATCCACTGCTAAATCATTCTGCCAGCCTTCAAGTGTACCAGACAGATGGAGTGCACTAGGAAACTGCCCACAGGCTGGTTACTTCAACCCCAGCTCATCTTTAATCCAGAAAGGTTTTGTTCTGGTATTTTAATCATTGATTGACTGGGAACTCTCTTCCATGCTGGGTTAGGTAAAATATCCATGTCAGAGGTACTGGGGAATTCGTGAGGCTGTAGATCATACGAGTGGTGTGAGACAGGATGCGTCTCGAGGGAACCAAGGAAGCCATGAGGAATGCAAAAAGTCACAGGGTTAAAGCCACATTAAGACAGCTGTTATGTTAATGAGAGTTCTGCTTTTCTTCTAGCTGTGGGTCATTGATTTAGAAAAACATGAACAAGGTCTTTCTCATTTTATCGTATTTTTCCACTGAAGCTAACATAGACCAAAACATCATCTCCAAGATCCCATTCGTCTTGCTAACAACACTTGTGAAGCAAGTTATCTATGTAATGTTTGTGTGCAAATGATTCCTGGGGCTTGATTTGGTCTTACCTGGCCCACGTCTATCTATGGAGCTGTTTTGCAAGCATTTCACTTAGTAAACATGTTAAGAAAAGAGTCATGCACAACTGAGTTTGCCTTCCAGACAAATTCATCCACCCATCTGATTTTCTCCCACAGTCATAATAAACACAAGAAATGTGGCGTGAAGTTTTCTGCAAAAACGTTTAGCAGGTAAAAAGTCTGAACCTTTCAAGACAGACACTCAATAATACAGCCATGCTGCAATAGGTGTGATTGTCTTCAAAAGTCAGAGAGGTGTTTCGTATTGCTTATTTCAGTTTGCACAGTCTGAATGCCTCAGGCTGCGTTTTAAAGGTCAAACCGTAATAAGAGTTTTACCAAAGAAACCAAATTCACCTGTATCCTTGGTCAGACCACAAGTCACCATTCATTTCTCTTCCTTTGTTAGATCACATGCTTCAACATCTTGCTTGTCACCCAACCACACATTGGCTTGGTAACACTTGCAACTCAGACTGATTTAAAAGGGGCATACTTTTCCCAGCAATTTGTAGATGTCAAGTGGTGAAAGAGCAGCAGAAGATTCTGCCTGCAGTATTAAACTTTTCACAGCATGTGTTTCTTGGATATTAAACAGGAGAAGTCCTAATCAAAACTTGAACTCTGAGGTGCAGGATAATTTGGCAGCTATTTTCCTAGGTTTAGACAGCTAAAAATCCAGGCTCATGCTTTTTAAAAAAATCTAAATCAACTCCATGTTACTGCTCTGGTACATTAGCTTGCTTTAGCAACCCAGATATACATGAGGCTGTGAAGACTTAGAAGTTATTGGAGACCGTATTTTCTTTTGAATTAAACTGAGAGTGGGGATAAAAGAGATATTACAGAACTTATACCAAGTCAACTTCGAACCAAAATCTAACCTAAAAGTGAACGGTAGATTCTGCACCAGCCACCTTCCTCACTTGCATGGCTCTGTAGACACATTTCCCTTTAAAAACGTTTTTCTCTCCTCTTTTAATGTCTGGAAGACCCAGACAACAACAGATGAAATCAGTTAGGTAACTATAAACTGGCCCAACAGCTGAGCTGTTGTATGCAGAGTGCTGTCAAGTGCATAAAGCAAACAAGTGGGGATATCAGACTTTCTTCTTCTTTTTCAAAGATTCTGTACTATGTTCATGGTAAGTATGGAACAATTAATGGGAAGACACAAAAGTTTTTTCAAAGCAGTTCTCTTAAACAGTTAAAAAAAATGTCACGTACAGATGTAAAAACTCTACAGCTGTAAACAATGTTGTTTCACATTTTCCTCCTACTCCAGAGCAGGATCATGTAGGAATATAAAAGGACTCACATGCTAACAGAAAAAGAAACTCCTTTCATTAGGCAGCTTGTATTATACATACCTGGACACGAGCCTCTGTGAGCTTGGCTCTTTGTGCAAGTTCTTCCCTGGTGTAAATGTCAGGGTAGTGTGTCCTCTCAAAAGCTCTTTCCAGCTCTTCCAGTTGTTCTGCTGTGAAGGTTGTCCTGCTGCGACGCTGCTTTCTTTTTAAAGGCAAATCTGGTTCAGAATCAATGTCAGAGCCTTCATCAGACTGAGGTGCTGATGCTCAAAAAAGAAACAAAAAGGGCAAAATTAGCTTTAGTTAAGGAGAGAAAGAGCAGCAAAATATTGACTCAGTCAATGACATCCTTTCATATGGAGGCTGTCTTGGACCAAAGGCCCCTCACAAAGCCTGAGTGAGAACTTGAGAAAAGTCAGCAAGAAACAAACCACATACAACATGACCATGACCCAGGAAGGGGCTACCAATTCTTGCAATCAGCAGTTTATAGAGAAATCAATATGGAAACTCCTTCTGGACTTCACAGACATGCAGATAGGGAGGTCATAGACAGGGCCAGACAGATCCCAGCAGCCCTACTTATTTCCCCTGGCCATCAAATGAACTCCAGCCACAGCTGAACTCAGAGCTATAACTGTGAAGGCAGCAGAACCTCTTCCAGTACCCAGCCACACTCACACTCTCCAGTAAATGGTAATGAACCAAAAAAGTAGACTTTCAAAGCCAGTCTTCACTTGCACCAGCTGCTGTCCAGGCAACCAGCATTCCTTCTTGCCTGAGTCTTCAGGGGAAACCACCTAAAGAGGGCAGACACTCCCCAGTGATGCTGAAACTGCTTGTTCAATGGAAATACAAGCATTGCTGATACTACTTCAGCAATGCCAAAGAAATTATTGATATAGACATTGATTTAATATAATCCTTTTAATGTAATTGATTTGGAAACAAACTGTTTCTCAAGCTCCAGCTAAAACCCCCACCAGGTTCATTTCTAGCTATCTTACATTTCCAATTTCACTCAATCTGTTTGAGCTAATAAATACAGCTAATCTGTTTACTTAGAGCATGAGAAACACAAAGTGCTTTTTCAGACAATTCAGCTGAAAAGTTTATTAATTTCTGCACACCAAAAAGAAAAAAAAAAGAACAATTACTGCTAGACCAGTGGCTCTTTTGTGAAATGTGTCTTCATTTTCCACATTTCATCAGTGTCTTGAGCCCAGTAAACACAGACATAAGGAAAAACTCCTGTGGATCTCAGCATCAATATACAGAACAAACATCAGCTCCCAGATGTTGCAGTGTGTTTTGTTAAGTTATTAGGTTGGTTTGTTCCAATCCCCTCCTGTCTGAAAATGGTTCTGCCCCAGTTCTCCCTTCCCGCCTTTGGAGCTGTCTGTCTCCCTGGCTCCACCCCAGCCAACAATGTATCCCCTAAACTCCGCCCCGGTTTCCCTGGAAACCCTTGGATCTTTTCTTCTGACCCCTCCCCCGTACCCCGCCAATCACTCTCACTGCCCGCCCTTACTGCTAGAATGTTCCAGCAGGGGAGTTCGATGGTTGGCTGAGGAACCGGGGCCCCTCCCCAGAATGTTTCCCGTTGGTGCTGCCCACGTGTCAATCCCTCGGACCCCGCTCCCCACTGCACCCCCATTGGCCCAAAGCCTGGCACCGCCCTTGTTCTCCCTACCCTTTAAAACCTGCTGTCACCCCCTTCCCCCGTCTGCTCCTGTCGGTTGCTCCGGGGTTCATTGAAGCCCTGATTAAGCCACAGTTGGAGTCCGCCCTCTCCTTTCCGCTGGTTGCAGCCTTTACCAGACTCCGTCCTGCACAAGGTGTGCCCACAGCCGCAAGCTGGGCACTGCCTCAGGCGCTGTCCCGAAGGCAGCTCTCGGGAGAAGGGCCCCTCGTGCTGCTGGCAGTGCTGGAGCCAGCCGGACACTGACAATTGAGAGCCACTGCTGCACCCAGAGTCTCTTATTTGCAGTGAAGGTTTGTCCCAAGACTGGACAAAGAGATTCTCATTCTTGAGAATATTTTTCTCTAGAACAAAGGAGAATCAGCACAAACATCCTATGCTAAACAGTTCAAGTCCAGTCCTCACTAAACAGGCGATCTGGAGCATCCCAGAATTAATATTATACATTGTCTGAATTAGTGACAAATCCCAAATCTTCACAGCTAGACACCAGCATTCCTCAGCAACTGCCATGTCACAATCCTGCAGGATGGCTCCACACTGTCATCCGGCAGCAAAAAGAAACATAGGCTATTTTAAATATAGTTCCTCTTTGTCCCTCTGAGATACAACTCAGCCACCTTAAGCAGAACAGCTCCTACTGCCCAGCTGGGCTGGGGGAGAGCACACCAGCCACACCACCAGGGTCACACTGGCTACCACTGCACTCTACCCTCACCTGGTGGGGTGAGATCTGAAACAGAGCTCAGAAATGTCCCTTTTGGAGACAACTTCTCTGACAAAAGCTGCCTTTAATTGTGTACAATGAGTTAAAATAAAAGGAAGTTGTCAGGAAGATGTCGGGAGCACTTTCAATGCACTTACAGACTCCACATGTATGAGTAAAACCTCTTCACACATCTGTGTATATGTCTATAAAAAGCCAGCTTAAACTGTGCAATTTAAAGGGGATATTTACTGCTGAATTCCTGAAGGGAACTCCCTCACCAGCTGAGTGGGAAGTATCAGGAGACACACCATTATCTTTTAAAAAATGTTTTATAAAGACTTAGCAAAATCTGGACGTGTTTCCCTGTGCTCTTATTCCTTTCTGCAACAGAATGTAGAACTAAAACCCTGAGTTCATTTCATTTTCATTGTATTAATTTTATATTTCATTAGGCAGTATATGAAAGGCACAAAGTTAAACCAATTTCAAAAAATAACTATAGTATCTAAGAGTCCAGAACAATATGTGTAATCAAGGGCAAGGATTTAAAGAGAAAACAGTAAAATTAAAATAGGGATAAAATGTATATCACATCAAACTACTTTCATATCTATCTGCTTTCATTGGCATTACTTTTTGCCAGGCCTGGCTGCTATGTGCAGCTTTATTGAAAACATTGGCTTCTTTTGTCTTATTTGCCCTGTAATATGAAAGTCAGGCAAAAGTAATCTCAAAAGATAGCTACATGTCTATACTACAAACTGCACTGTTCTTATTTCTTACAAAGTATTCTTAAATATCACTATCATCAAGGAAGCCTTTATTCGTATTTTTTCCTATTAAAATATGATTATGAGACTGTTGTACACTGAGAAGGGTCAGAGTACTAGCTGAACACAAAAATTGGATACACCTCAACCTTTAGACAAGCAATATATATATGTTTAATACACACAGTGCATTGCCCTCTCTCTAAGCAGAATCTCACTAACAGTTCTACTGACTTCCATGATATACAAAGATATTATTCAGCACTGGCAAAGCTGGTGAGATTTTAGCTGAGTTATTTCTACCTCCATCACCTCCACAAACACAAAACATGCATATCACTAACCTTTACATGTGTCCTACTGATCCTAATTTTCCAATCCCTCATGTCATAAATAGAAGGAGACTCACTGCCATGGGAGATTGCCTGGCTGGGCCCCTTGGGATCACCAGAGCCCCTCTCACTATACAGCTCAAAATTGGAGAGACAGCCAACAGCACTACCAGTTGCTGAGTCACAAAGAGTAATTAAAAAAGGAACTACAGAATTAAAGAGAAATTATTTGTCCCTTAACTGCTCATGACCTATCTGGTGGCCTAAGGAAATGCTGCATGCTGATTATCACCACAAATGCACAACCCCACTGCCCAATGTCACAGGCATTTGGTCACCTGGAGTTCTGCAACCATCCCTTTTCCAAACACTGTAAATAGACACATGGGGCAAAAACCCAACAACAAAATGACACACAAGGGGTCATTCTCTGGGCTGTTCTTCCTCCCAGCAAGACATTTCATTTGAATAATTAAATAACAATAACATGACAACCATTTAAAGCCAATGCATTAGGGCTGCAACAGAGTGCACCTGACAGAGGCAGGCAGAGGGGTTATCATGGACAGGTTATCATCCTGCGACCCAGGGAAGCAGAACCTCTCTCACAGCTCTTCACACCCTGTAGCATTTTTTAATAACATATTACAGAGTCTCTTCCTCCTAGTGTAACAGCCAGAATGAATTATGTCTAGCCAGGGATCTCACTGAAATAAGGCAAATGAAAAAAAAAATTAAAAATAGCAAAGGCCAGGGAAGGGGTTTGGTAGCAGTTTATTAGCTAGCTACCCTCCACTCATCCATCTTCTCAGTTCTTTATTTAAGCAAGATTAATTTCACAGAGTCTCCCCCTTGTGCCAACTGCAGCTCTGGAGCTCCCTGGCATGTTCTCTCTGCCAGCCCTGGGGCGTTCATTCTGCCACCCTGGGGCTCACTGGGGTTGTTCTCTCTGCCACCCTGGGGCTCACTGGGGTTGTTCTCTCTGCCACCCTGGGGCTCACTGGGGTTGTTCTCTCTGCCAGCCCTGGGGCTCCCTGGGGTGCTGTCTCTGCCAGCCCTGGGGCTCACTGGGGTGCTGTCTCTGCCAGCCCTGGGGCTCACTGGGGTGCTGTCTCTGCCAGCCCTGGGGCTCCCTGGGGTGCTGTCTCTGCCAGCCCTGGGGCTCCCTGGGGTGCTGTCTCTGCCACCCTGGGGCTCACCATGGCAGCAGTGGCTGCCGGCGCCCGTCTGATCCCCGCAGCCATCGCGGCCGAGGCGAGGCGAGTGACCTCCTCATGTTTGCTCGGGTGCAGGCAAGGGGAGTGCAACGGGGCCGCCACCCCCACACAAACCCACAGCAAATGACAAATGACACTTTCTCTTTGTGATCTTTGGGATTTTTGTTGACTTATTTGGAGGCTTTTGTTGGGTCCTAAGAAATGGCCTGTGGCTGAGGCCTATTGGGCCGATTTCCACGCTCCATCTGTGGTATCCATCAGCGGGGCCTTTGCCCGCATTCAGGGCTCTGACACCTGCCTGGCAGGATGCGGGAGGCACAAAGGCGGCTGCCGCGGAGGCGGGGGCGCTGGGCCGGGGGGCTGGGGAGGGCAGCCGGGTGAAGGGGATGCACAGCAGGGGTTAATCCAGCTCCCCTCCCCAAAGCTCCGCACCTGGAGGCGTCCCTCCAACCCTGCCTCCTCCGGCAGAGGTGAGGGGCTCAAACAGCCCTGCTCACGCTGAGGGGGAATTAAGGAGGAAAGGGAGGGAG